TATTCAAGCAGTATATTGAACAGTTAGATCATGCAACTGCAAATGATATTTCTTTTCTGAACAACTTAATGAAAAAGACTGAAAAAGAACAAATAACCCTCTTTTTTTTTTTTTTTTTTTTTTTTTTTTCATTTTTTTTTTTTTTTTTTTTTTTTTTTTTTTTTTTTTTTTTTTTGATGATTTTCTCTTTTTTAGTGGGTTAGGTGGCTTATCTTCACGAGCTCGCTTATGCCCTGCCCAGTCACGCGGTCTTCGATCTTTTTTGTAACTTCTTTTTGCAGTAAAACACCCTGATTTCGGGTATCTCTTGTCATATCTAGAATGTGTCGGGTTTACTATGCAAATGGACTTTCAGTATACCAACGTCAAAATTAAGCGTAATAAAGAGTCAAATAATAAATTGGCATAAATTGACCTGCTCGAGATCGCGAAGATATCAAGAACTATATATTGTTGTGATAAATGAATGATAACCTTGAAATCTTTTAACCATCTTAACACTTTCTGCCCGACGTCAGATGTTTCGTCATAATGCTTTTTTATAGCCTTCAGTTCATTTTTGTACCGGTTATGCTCCGCCACCTCATCTTCCAAATCTTGTGCGTGCAATCAGAAATTTAAAAAACCCTTATGTGAAGGTTCCTCCGATTGTTCCCAAAAGGCTAAATATTTTATGAACTATAGGTTACACTATATTCGCTATATTGTTGCAAGGAAACATTTATGATTTATCTTACTAACAATCTAAGATCTTCGAGACATTCAGCTGACAAGTGCATTTTTTATCCGTCCGGAAGCGTATCAACTGTCGTAGGGTTGGGGACTGTTACAACTTAGTGGGCAATGACAATACCAATGTCATCAGTACAGCGACCAGTTATGTAGACAATATCGGTTGATAGGCGAATGCGGGGATTGGTTGTTTGTGATTCGGCTAAGGCGCGTTTTATTGTCATTGCTGCTGCTGCTGCTGTTGTTGTTGTTGTTGTTGTTGTTGTTGTTGTTGTTGTTGTTGTTGTTTAAACGAGTTCTACCTCAATACTTTCTCTAGATCTGCAGTCCAGTCTTACAAAGTGCCAACTAAACTTACATTATGCTGCTGAAGCGTATGAAGTAAACAATTATAGTGTCAAGAATGAGTAAGTGTAGGCATTTGAGAGGCGTCATTTAAATATTGTCATAGCGATTACCAAATTTTTTTATAACAGTCTCTAATCACATGATATAGACCGCAGTCTGAGATGGAAGATACCACTTGTACGAATTAGCACAAACGTGCCAATATAAGTTGTAGCCGATATTGATCGAGACTGTTAGAGGAGAGGTTGTTATTACAAATTTGCATCAAAAACATAATAGACTTGGAAAAATGCAAGATGTTTGGTTATTTAGCCATGTCTATTGAAATTATATGAATACTATCTATCGCCTTGTTTGAACATTGAAACTGATTGTTGTCTATTTAGGTGGAGGAAGTATGTATCGCAGCGGACATTATGTAGTTGCGATTATACATATTAATATTATAGCAATGATAAATTCAGTTGGTAATTAGTATGGTATACGATGCCTGACATTAAGATTGCTAGAAATCACGACGCCTATTATTAGTGTTTTTGAGTAAAAAAGTGTCGGACGCACGCCACGGAGGGGAACGTCTTTGACTTTCAACAATATATGGACACAACATGAACGATTGGAAGACATGTTCGTTATATTAATAATATTTAATACTGATCATGAAGAAATGTAGACATATTAATATTCCAATGTTGCTATTACGATTACTATTATTAAGTAAACTAGCCTTGCGAAGACTGAATGTTAGATCTGTGTGTGGAATAGAGAATACTGGAATGAACATTAGCGTGTTCAATGATGACACTTTATTACACTCAGTGAAAATGTTCAGCAATTAATTGAACAGATGTTGTTATTTATTTATACAGTATTAACTTGCTTTTCTTGACAACCCAAAAGACTCGCATGTATACTGTGAGAACTTTCGTATATAATACTGCGATGTCTGTATAATATCGTCGTCAGATATTTTCAAAGAAGTCGTCAATATTATTCTGATTGTAAATATCACATGGTTGTCAACAGTGTCCCGCAAATCTCATCGGGAAATTTTTAAAAAATAAGCATGCTTTAAGTATATCTGCTCTGAGCAATGCTTTAAACAAATTTTCAAGCTTTAAACTTGCGTGCTTGAACACAAAAGCAGATACTAACCAAGCACAAGCAGGACTGGTTTTTCTAGCCCCAAACCCCGCGTGGGAATTTTTTGACATGATCGTTGACATGAACCCTTACACTAGATCTCTCCCATCTCTTGATGTATGGCACCTGATCGCTGACATGAACCCTACACCTTGTATGCAGTAACACACGATTAAATCATGCGATTAATAATTGGATGATACTGGTTTTTTGCAATCATGCGAGATTGCCTGTGGTATCTCCCGCCAGTTAAAATTGCTGTATTATATAATATATAAGCTTGCTCATGATATACATTGATAGAAAACGGTACAGTCACGTGATTGTTCATACAACATCTTCAGCTGAATTTTGGTGCAACACACAGAATCCTATAAAACTGGCTGAAGATATATGAACAGTCACGTTATAAGTTCAGCCAAAAATGGGCGAGCGAAAAACTTTTAAAAGGGCGGCACATCTACGTTGTGCCTCTTCATTGCTGAGCTTTTTCCATACGTTTTTAACATAATCTTTCGTATCGATTCAACCGCCGCGTCTCCACAGCTTTCAGTACAACTTCACGTATAATTTTTCCTTAGACAGTTGATACGCTTCCGGACGGTTAATTTTTGCAACAGAAGATAAAAAAATGCACTTGTCAGCTGAATGTCTCGAAGATCTTAGATACGTTGGTAAGATAAATCATAAATGTTTCTTTGTAACCTATTGTTCATAATATATTTAGCCTTTTGGGAGCAATCGGAGGAACCTTCACTTAAGAGTTTCTTAAATTTCCGATTACACGCACAAGATTTGGAAGATAAGGCGACAGAGCATAACCGGTACAAAAATAAACTGAAGGCTATAAAAAAGTATTATGACAAAACATCTGACGTCAGGCAGAAAGTGATAAGATGGTTAAAAGATTTCAAGGCATTCATTTATCACAACAATATATAGTTCTTAATATCTTAGTGGTGCGGGAGTGTGAGGAATAAGGCATTGTTTGAAGATATAATTCACGACTAGACTGCTTGTTTGTCGGAGAATTATACTAGCATGTAATTCACGGACGGACTACTTTGCGGACTGTTTGTTTGTCCGGGAAAGGGTGTTTACTTGTGTGGTTGGACCTATGTTCTTCCTCATATGCAAAGCGGAATAGTTTGTCACTAACTCATTATTTTTTCAAGAATGATAAGAAGTCGAAACAGACAAATCATTTTTGGGATCTACAGGAGAGGCAAAATATTTCTGCAGAGATAAAGCAACGAGTAGGTTATTTTCAAAATTTGGCACTTTTTGTTTTGATACATTTCCTAATATCTACGAAAGAATGAACTAGAGAACGAGATCGATCTCGAGCAGGTCAATTTATGCTAATTTATTACTTGACTTTTTATTAGGGTGTTTTACTGCAAAAAGAAGTTACGAAAAAGATTAAAAACCGCGTAACTGGGCATAAGCGAGCTCGTGAAGATAAGCCACCCAACCCACTAAAAAAGAGAAATTTATCAATAAAAAAGGTTGGATATAACTTAAATTTTTGTCCGAAAAAACATTTTTATAAAGCTAAATTTTTGGTTGGTTTTTTTTTTTGAATAATAAAATTTATGTTCTTGGCCTTTTAGAATGGACCAATCAAATTGAGCAAGGAACACCGACAAAAAATCGAGCAGACATATAATGATATGAATCGAGAGAGAATGTGGAAACTCTCAACGGAAAAATATGTCGAGGAAGAATTATTCAAATTAGGCCAGAAGTTGAATTTTGAGCAGTTAGTGTTTATATGCATGTTTCTCTGCTCTGAATTTTGGGGTACTTTGACGAGATTTATACGATGACGCGGGATTTATGCACGAAATATATAGCAACAAGTTATATTAATAAATAAATCTATTATTTACAAACTTGAAACAAACTCGTTCGGTAGAAGTAGCTGAAAACAACAATAAGAAATTCCTTTAAATAATAGGTTGGCTAAAAATTAGTTCAATTGCTGTTCTAACAATAAGGTATTCTTGTGCGTCATAAGTGTTGAACCATCGATTAAATGCTGCATGCAAAAGACATTATAAAAATTAACTTAATTCTCTTACAATTTATTACAATCTTCAAGATTAAAAGATTAGAAATATGTAGTATTACAATTCCGCTACACGTTAATATTAGTTCTTACATACATATTATATAAGTTTACTAATACATTAGTGTTTGAGAAAGCCCTCCTTAATTTATGAACTGTGGCACCACACCATACAGCCACAAGAATCGCAGTGATAATTGGTACCTCCAGTGTTTTTACAATTATCGCATCCGCAAGGAAAAGGATCATTTGGATCATTTTTGACGCAGCTACAAAAGCCGGAATCGAGGCAGGCGCAAAACTGCAGGTCCACGTTTTGATAGTCGTTGTATTTAAATATGCCGCAGCTTGGTAGGCTCGAACAATCATAACGACGATCTGAAATTAATGTGAATTTGTTAATTATTGTTGAGCTTTTTATCAAAAATACTTTATCTATCGATCAATTACCTAGTCTGCCGAGTCTATAACCGAAGCCAAGAGTTGGTAAAATAGAAACGAGCAAGTAAGTAGACAGTATGAGAATGGCTGTTATACGCATGATGGCAAAGCTGGTTTTGCAAAGTAATATTTTATCGTGATAAATTCGATAGGCCGTGTTTATATAGCATAATTCGACTATTGTGCAAGTCCAAGTCATAAGTGGTAATAATCTACAATTTTGTTATCATATTGGTGATTTACGTTCAACATCATACCAAGAAGAACTTTCCGTGTGACCCGCTTCGGAAATGTGAGATCGGAACATGAGAACGGGCAAACATTCCATAATTATCTGTAATAGGTAATACAGACACTAAATTAAAATTTCCAAGTGATAATCTACGCACAATGAAGTAGTCACAATTAACTTTGATGTAGTACATAGCTCTTAATTCTTGCTTTCTACTCTAACCCCATCAGTGAAGATATGGATATTATATTATTAGTGTATTTCGTTCAACATCGCTGTATTAGGCGTCCAATAAGACAATAACAAATTCAATGGTATCAAAACTGTTCGTATAATGCCTCGGGGAACATGAGACGGGCAAAAGTTCCATATTTATCCGTAACAGACATTAGCTTATCATGTCAAGCAGTAATATACACAGTGAAAGTCGATATAACGGACCATCGATATAGCGGACCGTCAATAAAATGGACTTTTTCTCTGAAACGGAATTTGTTTACTAAATAATATGATATAAACTCACAAGTCAATATTACGGACTCGTCGATATTACGGATTAAAACACTGGTCCCAAATAGTCCGTTATATCGGCTTTCACTGTGTACCAAGGCCATTGACATCTTCTTACTGTTAGGCAGTGAAGATATAAAATCAGTGTTGAGTTGATATTTTAGTTTTTCGCAGAAAGATGGCTCACGACTGCCAACAATAAATCTACGTATTGATGACATTTAACGAATATCGGACTCAATAAGGTCATGCAAAATCAGAGCTGCTTACACCAAACATGTTAAAAAGATAACCTCATCTCTACAATACCCAATGCCTCTTCTCACGTCTCGTAGCTATCCTTTTATTGCAACATAATTCTCATTAACTCAACCTTCTTCCTTACTCATAGCTAATACCATATCTTCTTTATTGCACTGATACTTTAGATTAGGTTATGTAGTTGGGTGTTATTTTTATATTAATATTAGCGAACGTTTTTATAGAATAGTACAGTCTCCAAAATAGTTGACAGTAACTAAATGCAAATTACAATAATATCTAGTAATTACGTTTAGTAGATTGATATTAATACAAGTGGCTCTCGATATAAGAAACAGTCGATATAAGAATATGGCCTGATTGAGTACGACTTTGGCGCTGCTTTCTGTCATATGTAGTCGGCAATGCCAAAAATCGATGCAGTAAACCATATCCTAAAGATGGTAATATGGATCCTGCAACCGTTTTTGGAACTATTCAAGAATAAACATTGTTAAAGCTGTTGTATGTCAGATAGGAATTTATGTCAGATCGGAATCTATGTCCATTCCGAACTGACATATGTCAGATCAGAAT